AAAAAAAAAAAATGTATGCATTTTTTTATATCCAGACAAAAAAACTTGTAGCGTCTTTGTAAATATTTTTTTATAATAAAAGATGCAACTATTGGGTTGTCGTGTGGCCTTTTGTATTCATGCTGTGACCGTAAAATGATACTGAATGCGATTTTTTCATTCATCGAAATTCTTCTGGAACAACTTCGGAATGTTTATTTTAAAAACCTACACTTATTTGTGGACTCTTGTTTTTACAAGAATTCTACGAGTCACGTCTTGTAAATTACAGATTTTGCCATTTCAATTTAAATCTGGGAAGCAGCTCAAGTCATCCCGTTTTGATGTTTAAAAAATCTGGGGAAAAAAAAAAGTTTTCAAATCCAACCAATGAACTTGGGACGTAATAAACATAAAACCAGAACTCATGATTTGCAAAACATGTTCAACCTGGATTTAATCGAATACACTACAAAGATCAAATCAAACTGATGTTTTTCGCAAAGAATTCTGCACTTAAGAATTTTATGGCTGCAAAACGAACCCAAAGAGCTGCGACAAGGAGTCATGTTTACCATTTTTTACGACAAAACAAAAATGGGATTTTTTTTTTTTAATTGAGCTGGTCAACTTGACACACTTTAAATATAAAAATTAATCGGGGGAGAGGGGGAAAACTTAATTTACAGACATTTTTTTTTGCAATGTCGAAATGCCTGAGCATGGAACTTCCACTGTACCGTACAGCGTGAAATATGTTTTAGGGTAAAGGTTTTCTATTCCATACTTGCTGATGTGGGGGGGGGGGGTTTGATGCTACGTTGGAGGTAATGAAAAGGTGCACTTAAATTGTGACCTTTGTCCTCAACGTGCCTCTGCTTCTCCTCATGTGACAACAGGACAAAGCGCATGCACACATCCGACTCAACACCGTTACATAGTCACACACACACGCGTCCTGGTTTTGCAATAATTGAACTTGGCCGTGGTCACCGTAGAACAGAATGAAATAGAAATTGAGCAAGCGTCGCTTAGCGTGCTGGCTCGCTTCCAAGCCTTTGTGACCCTCTTGGAAAAGATTAACAGCCTGCTGGTGAGTCAGCAAAAAAAAAAAAAAAAAGGAGGAAGCGGGGAAGCGATTCTAGACTAGAGAACTGCTTCCAGGATGGCATCGGTGGACGCGGTTCCCTCGTGTATTTATTGATGATGTGACCGCAGACGCAAGCAGGATGGATTCTCAAGTGCTTCGGGCATTCTGTTGATCTACTCATATTCAGCCAAATGCTTCAGAACTCAATTGAACGGCCAGCGCTCCACAGTGCAGATGGACAATGACTTGAAGCACACTGTGAAAGCACCCGAAGATTTGATTGATTGATTGAAGGCAAATAGGTGTCATTTTGTGCAGTGGCCAAGTCCATCACCAACCTCGAATCCAACTGAGTATGCATTTAAGTCTGCTGTTACAGCCCATCTTTTTATTTAGACAAACCACCAAAATCACCTTGCTAACAATGACCACTAGCTCGAGGTTGAGCCGTCCTGTATTCATTTACTGATTAAAAGAGTGGAAATTACACAAGTGTACTCAAGGAAAATTGAATTGACTGTATTTTACTTATGCTTGTTCATGTTTGAGCACCAATAACCGGCAGTACGTTTTAATTGGAAATGTTTTTTTTTTTTAATGACCATACAGACATAAAAGGGAGAAGTAGGTCAAACCCCAGTGAACAAGTGTCCAGGGAAGAAAAGAATACGAGAGAAAAAATGAGCAAGTTCACGGAGGCTCAGATCGCTTTTTGGCGAAAGAGGAAATACGCGGGCGAGGAGACTCCTTATATGGTAATCGCTCGACTGCTTCCGGTCTTGTCCCCTTCCTGCTGCTCTGACTCATCCGTCCCTTTAAAATGTGGCGTTCAGGAAACTTACGTAAATCTCGTAATACCATCCGGTTCATTTCGTTTGAGAATTTCTGCCACCACCAAGCATTTTAAATGTATTTACACGAATACATTTTTTTTATGTGTGTGATATCGTTTTGTGTCATTGCCAGAGAGAAAATGTAATTTTGACGTGCGAACTTTTTAAACTGCTGTAGTTTTGAATGATATTTCTTCAAAAAGCGTATTTGCGGTGCTGTTTAATTTCACGCCGAGGACATTGATTCCAAACATTGCGCTTGAAGACGTCGCAATTGATCGTGAAGAAAAACGGGACTCGTCCGACAACCTTTGGTGGCTCACGTGTGCAGCCACCCGAGCCCTTGTGCTTGCGTTCTCTGAGCGGCACCCGAACGCGCCGCGGCCGCCGCACATTCGCTGCCCCGTGAGTGGCGGAGGCGGACGGTTGAACGGCGGCCGAATGGACCAACCGCAGCCGGCCTGGGAGCCCTGGTCCCGCCCATTCGTTCGACTCCCCCCTTCCTCCCTCTAAGCGGACCGAACATTCCTCATCTTCTCTCTCGGGGCTCGACGGCGACGTCACGTGGCCGGACAAAGCGGACTTTACGGCAGAATCGGTCCGCTCATGACGCCGGTCGAGGACACGTAAGGTTTGTTGGCTTTAATACATCTAATCGGAACTTTCAAACTCGGTTCACTAGCGGGAACGGTTCGATAGCGCCCTCGGGAGTTCGGACCCACCAGAGCTGCATGATGTATGGCATCGTGTGTGTTTTGTCATTCGAACAAAATGGACTTTGACATGTTTCGTCAGAGCAAAGGGGGATACTTTCGCATTTGGGAAGGTTTGCCCCCCGCCCCCCACACACACCTTTTTGAAGTTCCACGTGTGATGGGGTAGAACAATCTCCGAGAACCTGCCTCTACCTGATCTGGATCTCCCTGTGGTAAACGTGCCGGTCGGTGCCATGTCTGGATGAGTAAAATCTTACTTGGTTGTGAGTCATGGGATGGGGGGTGGCAGGGACGATATCCTCAGGGGTCCCGGCTGGGAATGACGGGACAGGACATCAGGAGGAGAAATTCGACATGTTTCGTCACTGTTACATAAACGAGGTGCTGCGCTACCCGGCCGCTAACGTGAAGGTGGCTGACAACGTCTTAATTTCGGAGGGCAATTTTCCCCGGGTCGCTTTTCTGCGTCAAAGGTACCGATGCGGAATAGGAGGTTGAAATCAAGCGGCCGATGTCAGACAGCATCAGAGGTAGGTCAGGGGCTATGTGGAAGGCGATAGTGGAGGAATGCCAGAACCAGTAGATTTAAACACCAGCTCTGTGTGAAAGGTGAAAAGCAAAAAATAAATAAATGCCAACTCCGCTTTGCAGCATGGAAAAGGTATCGGAGGTATGGAATGGGAAGTCAAAGTCAAACTGTAAATGTTCTGGTCAGCACATTATGAGAAACTATCCGAAGTCGTCATACCGCACGGAAAAACACATCTGAATTTGATGTGGAAAATATCCAAAATAATATGAGAAACGTAATTAATTTGACGCAAAATACATTTCTGTGAAAAATATGAAATGATGATCCTGATACGAAAATTTTGTCGTGAAAACAGTTAACGCAAGTAAATGTCAGCATTGTAAGTGGGGGGGGGGGAAGTTCTATTTTGGTCATTTTATGAAAATGTCAATTATAGAGGAAAAAAAATGAGTGGATGTTTACGGAGGGAAAATGGCAACTTCCCAAGGTTAAAAAAAACAAAACAAAAAGCAACCCCTTCCCTGCAGGTCCATGTTGGGTCGTGGCGTGAAGCGGAAGCGGAAGCAGGCGTCGGAGGCGGCCGGCGAGGAAACGCAGCGGCACGGCGATGGCGAGGTCGGCACCGCAGAGGCGACATCGGGCGGCGCCGGCGACATCGGCGACATGCGTCAGCGCTTGCTGGGCCTCAGCCTGGAGAAGCTGCATCGCTACCAGGCCGGCGTGGAGCTCAGCCTGCGGCGCTCGGTGCTGCTTATCAACACGCTGCGGCAGATCCAGGACGACATGCGGAACGGCATCGAGGGCGACGCGAATGCGGTCCTCGGCGCTCCGGACTCGCCTCTCCTGCACGAGGACCTCACGTGTCCCGGGTGCGCGGAGGGCGGCAGAGAAAGTCCGTCCTCATCGCCGGAATCCTCCTCGGAGGAAGTGAACGTGGGGTCCTTTAGCGATGCGGTGAACGCCATGGGCTACCTCGGCGACTTGGCAATGGATGATATCTTCGAGGACATCGATACGTCCATGTACGAGACCTCCGACGTGTCCTCCGGCTGGACGGCGGGCTCTCTGTGGCCCGTCAGCGTGTCCCTCTGGGCGGACGAGGATGGCAAAGGCACCGCCGGGGGTCTCCAGTCTTGTCTGATGGACCTGAATGAGCTGGACCACATTATGGAGATCTTGGTCAAGTCCTGATCCACCAAAAGTACAGTGAAGTCCCCGCGTCATCGCTGTACTCGTCCGACGCCCGGCCGAGGGCGGAGGTGGAGGGAATGACTTCACCCCAAGGATGCATCAGGTGCCGTTTTGTGTCCGATGACAGGCTCGTTTTTTGCAAGTCCAGAATCCTCAAGACCCTCTGCAGATGAAACGCTAGCTCCTTTCACGCCGCCCGTGCGAGCCAACTTTTATTGGGTTGCCGTCCGGCGCGGGGGGGACGTGTGGGATCCGTGGCAGCGTCAGATGCACTGACATCATCTCCGATCTGAATATGATTGCGGAAATCCGCATTGCCGGGTCCAGTTTTCGAGGCACAGTGATTTGCCATCGACGTCATCTAAGGGGGATTCCGCAAAGCCCGGCCCAACCTCGCCTTGAAAGCAGCCATCGCCGTCCAACAACTCGATGATGATGTTATTCTGTTGCGGAGGGACGCAGCGTAAGCGTTGAAGGCACGGGCGAATCAATTCTGTAACGGAGGCGGGAACCATGGCTACGTGCAAGGCCCTGTTAGGTTTCAGGAAATCGGCACTGTCCAACACCGGGCGCTGACGTCATCTCAAGTCATCGGGTTCTGTGCGAACGAATGCCGTTACGCTTCCGAGTCAGCGATGAGGCGGTGGGGACAGCGCGACAGGTGGTCGTGTCGTTTCGGGACAGGTCAACATCGGGAGAAGCTGAGCCGTCTCAACCCGTGGCCGAGTCTTTCGTATCGCTGAACGTCGCAAGCAACTCCGCACTTTTTTGTCCCTCTGCCCAACGGAGGAGGAAACCCGAGTCGAGCGAGGTGATGATTAACGGAGATGCTTCGCCGGCCCGGCAGGAGGGCAAGGACCCGACTTTGGAGACCGATTTCGGACTCTGGCGGCTCCCGGGGGGCATATAGCGAGCGTAATCCAAAATGGATTCAACCCCGGCCATCCAACCACAAGCCTCTTTGGTTCATTCTCTTTCCCTCCGGTTTTGTTGATGCTCGAAAAGCGACCAAGCGCTTCTGCTATGCAGCTGATTGTTTCTCACGAGCGTAACTGGTGAGTCGGCTCTTTTTCCGAAAAGAAAAAAAATCTGGGTGGAGAAGTGACGACCGCCACTCGGGCTTCCTCGCGTCCCCCGATTGTATTCTTATGGCACTTTTTTGTTTTGTTTTTTTTACAGCTGAGGTTTTATGCAAGCCGTTTTATACGTGAAAACCTTTGCCGGTGTGTTTTACTCCTGTTCTACCTCCTAACGTTGACACTCCTTGTGAACCAATCGTTCAAAATTTTAGCTGTCCCACGAGGAGGCCGGATCTCGCCAGTCTCATTCCAACTCACGTGCCTTACCGCTTTGTACGTCTCAAGCCGTGTCCACACATTCATCCCAAAACATCTTCTTCCCACACCAGAATCCATTTGTCGACTTTCGGATACATTTCAACCAATCAGAAGGCCAGTAGTCCACCACGCTTGCAATTTGAATCGGGGCGGCATGGCTCAACGGTAGAGTGGTTGTTTCCCAAGCCGGCGGTGGGGAAATCGATGCTCGGCCATTGGCAACGATGTCAAAGTGTGCTTGGGGCAAAATACCGAAGCCCCGGCCGGTTGCTCCTGGTGCTGCGTCAGCAGTCGAGTTTTGGAGTTCCTATTCTACGGCGATGGCATAACCCAAATTAGACCGTTGGACAGAATGTGGTTATAATTACAGGAAAGGTTATTCAGCAATCAAAAAAAAAACAACCAAAAACCCAACCCCCCGCCCCCTTTGACAATATCTGCATTCATGTGGACATGGCCTGAGGCTGGCTGAGCGTCACAGACTCAAGCACACAATCCCGCCCCGCCACCACCACCGCGGCGGCCCTTCTTCTGTGCTCTGGCTTCATGTTTCCTGACAGGCTGACAAGCAAGTAGCCAAGGGAGGGGCTGGCAGGCGGGGCGGGGAGGGGGAGAGGAGGAGGAGGAGGAAGGGGGGAGGGAGGGTTGCGGTGGGGTGAGGAAGCACCATTTGCGTCATTTGTCCATTGGGAGGAGCTTCCGCCTTGTTTTGTCCAAGCCTCGAGCAGCTCCGCCAATCCTGTGAGATGTACGCTCCGGTGACTTTGTTTTCTGGTTTTTCAGCCTCTCTCTCTTCAGTGTCGAAAAACAGAGCTTGAGGAGGCTGACCAATGAAATATTGTATTTAATTTAATTTAATAGAAAGCGCAATGTTATTTATGTGTGTGAGCGCGTGTGTGTTGAGGGTTATATAAGCACAAAAGCCGTGTGTTGTCGAGAGCGATCTTTATATATATTTCAATGTAACCGATGGATGCATTTGCTGGTATTAATTCATATTAATAATGATGCATTTTGGGGCAATATTTTAGAGATTTTATTCACCAATACAGAAACTACAAAAATGACAATGGTGTCTTTTTTTTGTTGTTGTTGTTCATGACAAAACACACTCACACAATGTTTTTGAATTTTTTTTTAAACATTATTGTTCCTAATGATTTGAAGAAATCACATTAACATAATAGTAGCATTGCCTAAGTCATTTTGAATTTTAAGGGAGAAAAAAAACAACCGCCTTAAAATTAGCCTTCATTCAACATTTGTGGTTTACCAGTCAACAAAAATGTTTTTTTTTAAAGCATTGTTTCTTGATATTGTGGCAGTGCGTTAAAATAACTTCGACAATTATGCTATTAGGCTAATGATAGTGTTGCTAAATGTTACTTAGAACAAACACAGACAACACACAAAAGAGACTTCCTAATTCCAAAAGAATGTGATCCTCAAGGTGGGTAAGGCACCGCTGTAGCCGATGTCTCACACAACACACACACACACACACACACACACACACACACACACACACACACACACACACACACGCACACACACACACACGCACACACAGGATTCCCGCCGCCCCTCCCGCTCCCCAACTATCCGCGTCGAAATAGAGTCATTCCCCCGCAGGGCGCGCACTCGTGTGTGAATGTCTCCGCGGTTCCGAGAATTTTGAGAGGGGCTGCACTGCACCCGCAAGTCTGCACACAGGGCAAAATTGTACCCTTTAAAAAAACACAGCGCCGAAGTGGGCGAAGGTTGCCCTCTGGTGATAAAACGACCGTATTGCAGGTACGTCCATGATAGCCATCAAGCGGGGTCTCGGTTTACGATGGCGCTGTGCTACGACGTTTTGAAGTTACGACTACGGAGTTGCCACGAGTAGGCACGCATATTGGTTAGCGTAGCCACTTTCTTACTCGATTGTTTCTTCGGTACTGTGTTGAAAAACCGGGTTGGTTCTGATCTTGAAACTTTTATTGGTCATTTATTGAAAAGTGTCACGGAAATTAGGTGGTGTCGATTTCGTGCGATGAATCCTGCTAACTAGTCCACCAAACAAATCAACGGTGTGACTAAGTTGCTAACTAATTCCATTCAAAACCATAACCCAACGGTTTAATTCCAAGTGCAACGTGATCTTCCTTCTCCTAACGCGATCTTCTGCTAACCTTCACTTTCTTCTCCTTCTTCAGTGAAGAAAGTCCTAACCCTGACCCTTCGAGCAGGGCCGCCCAAGTCCGGTCCTCTCCAGCCAGTTTTCGACGTCTCCCTCCTGATGTATAGGGGCTGTCGAGGACCGGACTTGGGCACCTGTGCCTTCAAGTCTGGCGTTGACATTAACAAGGTCCTCATTTCCGACGAAAAGCCATGGTTCTTGTATGAAAGTACGAATGCGAGCTTGTAAAAACAGTCTTGACGTGTCCTCCGGTTTCCTTTGAAAAAAGGAGGGCTGCTTTTTGTCCCCCTCCATCTTTGTCTTTCTACCGATGACGCGGAAGCCGAAGAGGGGAACTCCGCCACAGATTGATCCGTGTTTTCGCTGCAGGTCACGACTGGGCTGCGGGCGCGGTCCAATAAAAAACCCGCCCGCAGTCCGGCCAGCCGGGATGGCCGACGTCAGTTGACTGCAGCAAAGGAGAAAAAAAATTAAAGAGGCGAGACTGCCGGTTGGGTGCTGACTCGGCACTAGCCCAGCAAACCTGCAACCCCACCTGACGACGGATAGATGGCGCCATTTCGCAACTTGTTTGTGTCGGTAGAAAGCTGAATCTGATTCTCCGTGAAGTGATTTCCAAGGCCCCCCCCGAGACGGCGTGGAGAGTTGGGTCCAGGTCCGGAATGTGACCTGAGCATTGCAAAGGGTCACATCGCAATGGATTTGGGATGCCATCTCATGACCGAGATGCCGTTTCACTTTGCACGTGCCGCTACAGTCATCTTGTGGTTCTTCTCCTCCATTCTCAACAAAATCGTGTGATGATGCGTGACCGTGACTGTTTGACAATCCGGTCGAACGCTTGAATCACAAGAAGCAGTCGACGTCCACGCTCACAAGTTTTACGGTCCCGACGTAGGTGGGGCGTGGGGGTGGGGGTGTTGACGGCGGTTTCCATGGCGACCGCCGGCCCTCAAACGTCGCATCAATTGGAAATTCAATCAAGTGGATGTTTGCAAATGTCACTAAATGATTCCAAGTGGAGATCAGGACCATGCGCAAGAGGCCTCAGTCACAGTAAACGACATTAGCCGGAGCACTCGGAACCTCTTTTTGTCTTTCCGCTGGCAGGCGGCAGAGCGCGGCTGAGCCGAGAGACCATGCGGTTTGTTTGGGTCAGGGTTATCGTTCTGGTTTGGATTGAAGTCAAAGGATTCATTCAAGCTGGAATTGGCGTGATGCCACAGCCTCAGCGATTAAAACGTCCGCTCGTGGCTAAAACGAGAATTGTCAAGAAGAAAACGATGAAATGTGTTTTCCAAAGACACATTTATTTTGGAATGTGAGGGCAGCTGCTGGACTTTTAACCCCCAGCAGTTGGATGTCAGTTAAGTATTCAGTGCCAAAAACGTTAATTGAGTGTTTTATTTTATTTTTTTTTAACGACACGCCCACAAAACAAAAAAATGAACAAGATGCTCAATCTATGTAGCCAACTATGAAAACACCTTTTGCAAATCCACTCAAACGATGGTCAGGGAATTGGGTTTTATTATTATTTATTATTTAAATGGTGTCCCAACTGCCCGTTCACTTCATTTTTGGAGCATTTCTTTCAACGACACTGCGTTAATTTGTAGTTTTGTGTCCACTCATATTTCCAGCCTCTATGTTGTCGATCAATCTCATCTGACCGGGCGGGGCCTTTGGAATGAGTCCTGCTGGCCCATGGAACTTGAACTCATATTAGCAAAGGGACTGTTTCTGTGACTAATCAGATTTGAAATTGATCTGCACCGGACTGGCACATGTCAACAATGTCAGCATTTTCCTGTCCTCTAATTGATGTCAGAGCAAAACTTGTTTCGCCCGACTTTGACGAGCAAAACACATCTGGAGCCAGCTTCACACAACACTCATGTGCAAGTCGTATCGAATTCGTGGCCACAAACGAACGCTTTTCACGTTATGACAATACGGTGGCTACAAGTTAATGATTTGGTTCCATATGCAGAAGCGGTTGGGATCAAAATTAGTGCCCTCTCTGGGTCGGGGTGGAAGAGTTGAAATATCTCGGGGTCTTGTTGGCTTTGTATCGGTCTGTTGAGGTGAAGAAGGAGCAGAGGCAAAAGGCGAGGCTCTCGCTTGACCGGTCTATCGACGTTGCCACCCTCATGGTCGCGAGCTGTGGGTCGTGACGGACAGAATGAGATCCCGGATACGAGCGGCAGAAATAAGGTTTCCTCCGCAGGGTGTCCGGACTCTCCCTTCGAGATGTGCTTGTCACTGATATTTCTTCCTTTCCTCTGCGACCATCAAATGAAGAGGTTTGGCGAATGTTGCTTTGAAGGTGACCCATAAATAAATGCTGCGTCACTTGGGCTGCAGGTAGATGGGGGGTGGGGGGGGGCAGGGAAGTGATCTCATGTGATCATCTTGAATATGAATCGAATGACAACCGTGGAGTACAATCATACACCGTCGAGGATCCGCGACTAAAAATATCCCGACCCCGATTGGCGATGGTGTCATTGTTTCCCGAAACCCGACTCTCCGAAAGTGCCATTTGGGAATACGACAATGCAGGAGGGAAACAAAAGGCAAAACGAAGACCCCGCCCAAACCGAAGCTACCTGACACCTGGACTGCCCGTCACAGTGTAGCACTTTTCCTTGCATCGCCCCCGCTATCGATCCACGAGGCTAATGCATCCCCATCAGGTTCACATGGGCATCGCTCGGCACTAACGAGCGCCCACCGGGGACAGGGATGATCTCTTGGCGAAACGTCTGGTCAGCATGAGGTACCCGGACCCCGAGGGGCTAATGAGCATTTTGAGAACAACCGACACGTCTTACAGACAAAACACGGTTGACCTTTTATCTTCCCCTTTTGTGCCCAGCTGCTGCTCATGACATGAGAACAAACGTCACTTAAAGCTCTGTCTTGATGTCAATGCGTCGCGGCGGCGGCGTTTACTCCCTTGAAAATGGCAGCATCCTACGAGTACTTGTTTTATCAGTCTGTGGCTTTCATTCAAAGTATTCAAATGATCGCCACCGCTGCGCTAAATAGACGATCCAAATGCATCTGATAAATCATGTGCTGTTTACTTCGATCTGCCCGGGTCACGCGGCTGTAAAACATCTGCTCTTATTCATGCGTCTGCACGTGCAAAAATGGCAGATCGCGATAGAACACGTCACATGTAAACAGCTGACAAGAGATCCTCAGTCGGTCTCCGTGTAAACCTGCCGAGTGCGGTTACCAAACTAGAAATCATTCACTGATCAGGACCAGCGAGGCCTTCTCTGCTGGCGTAAACGCAGCAGAAATATCGGCCGCTTCTCATTGTGACGGCCACGATTGAAGTGCAAAGCTCACGCTCCGCACTTGAATGCAGATGGGCCGCTGCCGTCCAGAATGCCAACGACGAGGCGCTCGCCGGCACAATCGGACGAGCCGACTTTTCAAACTTCTCCGACTTGCGTGTTTACTTGTGTCTGATTGGATCGACGTGGCCGCTTTGGCTCAAGTTGCCTCCACAAAGGAGCTCTCGGAAAAATTGCACCGACATCGGCGACAAATCCACTTACGGCCTCTTATCTGGGTACGCGCACGCACATCCGCACGCATGGAGAGAGGCAGACAGATACACATGCACGCCCACACATGCAAAAAAGTACACAGACACGCACCCACAAAAACAGACATAAACACACATAGACAGAAATATAGACACACACACACACACACACACACACACACACACACACACACACACACACACACACACACACACACACACAGGCACACACCTAGCTACACACACATTTACAGGAATAGATGCACATGTTCACAGATGCACGTAGATGCAAACCTACACACACACACACACACACACACACACACACCACATACACAGACAGACACACATACACACACACACACACACACACACACACACACACACACACACACACACACACACACACACACATACACTCACATATGCAGAAAGACACACGTACACACACGTACACACACGCGCGCACACACACACACACACACACACACACACACACACACACACACACACACACACACACACACACACACGCACGCACACAGATCCACATTTATTGCACATGCAAATAAATACACGCACACACACAGTGATGCACACAGACGCTCCATCAGCGCTGGAGCCAGACGCGGAGCGTCCTTGTCCGATGAGAGCGATCAATGAGCAAGGAGGAGGGAGGGAGAGGAGGGTTAAGAAGCAAAAAGACGGATGAAGGGTCTGTGCTGGGAGGGGGCGATGGTGATGGCGGAAGATGATGATGAGGATGAGGGGCGGGCAGGGGGGTTGGGGGGGGTGGTCAGCTCCTCCCATAAGCAAGTTATTGAGCCGCGCTGTGGAGGTCTGTGATGTTGACGGGGTAAGGCAGTCTTCAGACGGCAGCGAGCGCTCTCAATCGCCCCTCGTCGGAACCGAACCAGCCCAGGAGGGGAGGAAAAAGCCTCCCGCCCCGCCGTTTTGACGGCTTAGGACCTCGTCTTCTCTGCGGACGCCGCCATCATGTGCGACTGTTTCCACCTCGCCTTCCCTAACTGGCACGGCGCGCCCGCCGGCACAGGTGAACTTCTGTCCCTTTTAATCTGATGCGTAATCGTGTTTGGGCTGCGGCCAGCGCGGTGCATGAGCGTTTCGCGTGTCTGCCTCACAGATCTGAGGTTCAGGGCTTGAATCTCGCCTGTGTGACGACTTCGGCTTCCTCCCCAAATATAAGAGAACGTGATTAGAGACTCTAAATCACATGTCAATCTCAAGGCCCGAGGGCAAGATCTGGCTTCCCGCATCGCTGATTATTTATTTATTTATTTTCTTGTGTGGCGCACTAAAAGCAAAGCCAAGCGTGTTTACCTTAATTTTGGTGTTCAATGGATTTGTTTGTTTTCATTTGAGCAGAAAACCTTCAGGAAAATGACATTCATTCCTCCCATTGTACAAGCAATTTCCACCCCACCAAATCCCTTCAAGGTGAATTGAATCGTATTTAGATTTGATTGTCACTATTTTACATGACTGGTGGTTTGAAGGCGAAAAAGTTGTTCTAGAAATGGACAATGAACGACAATGTGGCCAAATCATTTGGAGGCGTCACGTGAGCGTGAGTGCTTATTTGTTTCCTTCGTGCCCTGCGATGGACCGGCGACCGGTCCGCTGTTTGTCAGTATGAGTTCCGCCATTGGCTGGCGACCAGTTCAAGGCAGACCGAGCCTCTTGTTCAAAGTCATCCGCCAGCCGCCCTAAGGCCTGGGATAGGGTGTTGAACTTCAGGCCCCGCGTCAAGACCCCGCCCACCCACCGTATCCTCTTTTGCGGGTCCGCTAAAGCAAACACGCCTACTTCATGTTTCATTTTGGCATAAAATCTGCCCGCGAATGGCCATGTTATTTCACCAGACTCCTTTTTAAAGTAACTTGGGCAGTAGTTATGCACCAAAACATTTGCGTGCCACTATTTTCCATAACGTCTGACGAAACAAAATAATATGGGGCAATTGCGTATAGGTCATAAAACCAGCTGATTCTACAATTATAAAGCTTTTCCAGTGCGTAGCAAAAAATAAGTGTGACACCTCTCGGCTGGGCGGTGTCGGAAAACGGATGCATGTTTGGCTTGAACAACATGCTGACTCAGCAGCGGCCTGTGCGACGTGCGCGACGTGCGAGTGTGCGCGAGGTGCTAATGCCGACCTGCAGTGAGCGCTGGGTGTGTCGTCTGCAGAGATGTCATCATCCCTTCTGGGCAAGCTCGCCATCCTCCTCCTCCTGCTGCTGCTGCTGCTGCTGCTGCACAGAAGCGCTTCCTGTGGCAGCCTCAGGACACTCAACACTGCAGCTGTAGCAGACAAAAAAAAAAAAAAGATGTGTTTAAAGCCGCTACCTGTAACCTTGCAGGACTTTAGTAAACAAAATGCCCAATGGGGTGAAATGGGCATTCTTGGCTGTTTCCTTCCCAGCTACTGACATGTTGTGGTTGCCTCGAGGCTGTTACAAAGTAGATGCAGTCTGGTCGAATGGGGGGCCAGGGGGGTAGGGGGGGAGATTCTTGCAGGCTTTATGCTAAAAGAAACATGATACAATGCTGCTGCCTTTTCATGGGCACGGCGAGGGTCTGCCTCCCGGCTCAGATAGAAGAAGAGAGGGTGGCATCGGGAGTCGAAACTGCGGCAAACAAATCACGCCAACGACTCCATTTAGCAACACGTGATGGAACAAGCCGAAGGTCGCAACAGCTGGGCAGTGGGACCTTGACCTGCGAGTTTTTACGAGTTCCAAGCTGTCACCGGGTCGATTTGTTATTTTTTTTTTGGTTTGCTTTGTGTTTTGAGCCAAAATCTGTGTTACGCATGAGCTTCAGAGAACTGTCGGAAGGCCCACTTTGGTCAAAAGCATTTCATTGACGCCCTCTTTGTTTCTGCTGAGATTGGTCCCGCGCGCTGCCACTGATTCAAATGAGAGGCAGCACGATGATGGGCGACTGCTTTGCAAATCTGCCTCACAGTTTTCAGGGTGAGGGTTTGAATCCTGTTAGCATACCGCGTCCCTGCCTACGTAGGTTTGCTCCATGTCCTCCGCGTATCCAAAACATTCAGATTAGCTTCACTTGAAGACTCTCAAAAGGTGTAAACGGTGGTCACTGGGCTACAGATGCCCCGACGGCCATTTCAGAGTCTGTGCCGCCTCATGTCTAAAGTCAGTCGTAGCACAGAAGTGAAATACGGGGTGGTTTGTTTTCGGAAGTTCACAACAAAGCTCAAGTCGATACGCTTCCGTTTCAAGTGAGGTGAAGCCCGAGTATCATGTTTCTCTGATTCATCTTTTTTTTTTTTTTTAATCTCATCGTGTCGAGGGTTGATTGGATCGTGTCATTTTTTTTTTCCCCAAAAAGCAGTACTCAAGTAGTCAGACGAAAAATTCAAATCAAAGCTCGGTTCGACGTGATTCCGTATCAAGCCATGCGAAGCCCGAATGTCACGTTTCAGTCCGTGCTGCAGTGGACATCCCAGGTTCTGTAATATCTGTTAGAAGATGTCCCGTTTGTTTTTTTTTTTTAGGATGCAATGCACTCAAGATCACAAGGGGGCAAAGAAGGGATTTGTGCTGGGAAGTCAGCCAGGTGTCTCCAAGATATGAAATTTGAAGATGATGTTGACCAATTAGCTTCAATTTCTTGTTCCAGCGCATGGCAATACCGTAACATTGGGAGCACGAGGTTGGAATCTAGTTGCGTTTAATTGGTTGAAATCCTATTATAATGGGCTGGGCCGCGGTGAACGGAGCTTGTGTGCCAAGCACAAGCAAGCGGCTGTGTGCCTTTTGATAACTTTTGGCGGAGTTACGCAAGATAATCGGAAAGGAAACAATCTGCTAACCGCCTTCGGTTTTGTTTTCGCAAGACATTATGATTGGCGTCAAACGTGTGAATGTCCGGGTGTCGCGCTCGTAAAAGAAACAAGTAAGATAGGGCAAAGTGCTCAGGGGGGAGCGGCGCCACACCCATGTCGAGAGCTGCAGTGTCAACCTGCGGCATCTGCAGCATCCCTGCGACTGCCGCACTGTGTCGAAAACTGGGAAGCCAAAGGGGACATATTAGCTCAAGTCTGATCACCCCCGCTAGTGTCAAACCGAGGAAATGTTTTTACTAGTTTCATATTTGTGAACATGTGTTATTTATTATTATTATTATTGATTTTTCTTTTTAACCAATTGCAACATCAGAGTTGCCAATCTACATACTAATCAGCAAGTGCAGCCATGGAAGCAGCACCATGCCAAAGCCAAAAGGAGCTGCAGAGCAGAATTGAATTGAGCAAGTCATTGGACAGCTTTGCTGATGAAGTGCTGCCTCCACCATTGAAAATAGACTCTTGATTTTATCTTTCTGGGTTGCCTGAGAAAAAAAATTATCCGCTCGGTGCCCTGGCTGCACGGGACCAAAAGCTGTGCTCACGATCGGCCCAGCAGTGCACGGGGTGATCCGAGACTCATCTGCATCACACCCATCCATTTTCCGTACGGCGCATTCTCACTCGAGTCGCATAAACCCAGGGGAGTAAAAAGCACCTTAATTCCTTCTCGAAAGCTGTGCTCACGATCGGCCCAGCAGTGCACGGAGTGATCCGAGACTCATCGGCAAGGGGCAGGAGTGCCCCCCCCCTCAAAACATCACACCCATCCATTTTCCGCACGGCGCATTCTCACTAGAGTCGGATAAACCCAGGGGAGTAAAAAGCACCTTAAGTCTTTCTATTTTGCCAAAGTGTTCTATTCCGAGAGCCAGAATTTGTTCATCGGTGTGAAAAAGGCATCGTCTCTCTCCTTGAAGGTCTGTACACTGAGCTCCCGACAAATATTTGAGAAAGGAGTTCCTTCCTCTCACGTGCGCTGCCGGTTCCCCGGACATGAGCCGCGTCACCTCAAAGCCCATCTCACACACAGCGATGAAAAGAAACAGCACTTCATCAGCACCGTGTACTTGACACAAGCCACGATGATTGTAGCCCCGACACTGCCGGTCGCCCTCTCGCCGCTCCCCCTCATTTCCTCTAATCCACTTCGAGACAACATCCTGGAACATCAGTCCTTGCAGGATGAAGCCGGGAGAGAGACGCGTTCAATCCAGCGCTACTACTAACATGGGCGTACCACAAACGTGACACCACAGCTGAGGTTTGCCTTTCGCACTTCGCTGCCGCGGGTCCTTTCACCCACCAAAGCCGGCAATGTGAAAGGTCCCAAAAAAAAGAATGGCGGGTTGTAGATGAATTGAAAAGGTGACGCTTTCCAATGCACAGTGTCGTATATATCCGTGACGGAGGCAGAAGGCTGTGTGAAAGGCATAGCCGGAAACCGGGAGTTTGTGTGTTAAGTTTTACCCTCAACATCCTCACTGTCCCAAACACAAGACTGAAAGACACAAGGGGGAATTAACACCTTCGATGAAATCTCAGATGAAAGGATTTTGCTGACACAAAGCGTAATGTTGCGCAGTTAACTCGTCGATATCTTCACCACTGTCTGGTGTGAGGTGGGAGAAGTGAGTGTCGGCTCTTAAATTTCTACCCCCTGTCTCAAGCTTTCTGCTTCGTTGGTAGTTGTTCATTTGTTAAGTGGTACATTACGCGTTTGAGTTACACACTTTTCGTTTGAGTACAGTAATTTTGAACTTGTAGGTGCAGTAGATTTTGAAATGAATCATGATTTAAGTTACAATTGTTTTTATTTTCCCGTCTTTCCAGGCGGTGTTAATGTTTGTCGTTTTGACTCCTGATGCCGGCTAACAAACTGAAATTGACGACGTATAACATATTGTACACGAGCTCCATTTAGTTTTATTGGCCAACCAACATGTGACAGTGTGACAAATGGCCACACATAAGGTGAGCTTTTATACTCACGCCCTCTTGGTCTACGCCAGGCTGAATAAATCATTTGAGTGACTTGTTGTGTTTAAAAGCACCTCAAGTCATTTCCAGGACTTGGGCAAACAACATCAGCAGGTAGGTGAACTGCATGAGCAAATATCTCGGTTATTGGGATTTTTATTTTATGTTATTTTTTATTCGATGTAGAGATTATATTGTGAATATTGCCAATGTTCCATTTGATCCGATGAATGTAGACTTGTGTTTTGTTGATGTTTGTTCCTTCTTATTATCCAGGAGAATGTGATTTTTTTTGACCCCCCCCCCCACCCAAAAGCGAACATACCGCCATCTCTTAACACTAATGCACTTAAAGAAGCAGTCAGGGCTCACATGACAAACGTTAGCACAGTGACGGAGGTCTTACTCTGTGCATTTGTAAACAACATGTAGTACAGTTCACTTGATCAATACCCTGAACACAAATGTATATTAGCTGAACGCAGTTTTATATATGTTGTTTCATGGCATGATGAATATATTATAAATGAAAGCAGGACAAATACTGTTCCCATTAAGTGTATTATTATTATTAGAATTTATTACGCAGCAGACGTCAGGCTCAGATGAGACAACAATGAAGACAAATGTTGAAGTAGTGTGTTATGTTTTGGTGTTTTGTGTTTGTAGGAGCTGAACGCAGGCTGAGAGCGCCAGACCTCAGCTCGGAGGACCACTCAGTGAGTTGAAACGTACCCTTGAGCAGAATAGATGAACAGGAAACAATGGTTGCATCTTGGATTTGTAAAGGCAGATATCAAAGAATGATCCAAAGGGGGATAAGTGCTACAGAAATGTATATTTTTCTTTTTGTGTTTGTTCCCAAAGTTTTGTGGACTTTGCAAACTGACAAACAGAAAATTGCTCACGATAACAACAGAAAGAATATCTTTTGTGGTTTTTTTTTTTCAAAGTATGCCCATAATTCTTGAATGTCAGAAGCTGTCAACATCCAACAATTTCCCTTAATTAATTGTACATGGATGGCGAATATGTACGTAACACTTTATAAGTCCTCGAGATGTCACTCAACCAAAAACTCAACTGCAGTTGACTTTCCCTCTCTCTCGTCACATTTCCTCTACAGACACGTTATCCATGCACAAGTCGCCAGACAAATAAATACTGAAGCTAAGTACATCTACCTGGAAAATCTACCAAAGTACAGAAAGAAAGTCTTTGTATTTTGTTACTTCCCACAACTGAAGAAGTATCACAGCTGTTCTTGGTTCAGCAACGTGTCGTTCTCACACCGTTCGTTGGCTATGTTCTGCCAACGTGAAACTGACGGAAACAGCAAAATCAGCAAATAAATAAAAAGACAGTTAAAAAAAAAAAAACATTTCTACAACTAACGCACGGCGTAACTCCTGTGTCGTCTACAGGCATGTGACGAGCCATCTCAGTTCACCGAAGGCGAGAGACCACGCCCGCAGGGTTCGTCCCCCGTGGAAGATCACCCAGAGACGGAGAAATATAGCGACAGCGACAAGGAGGTAACAGAGGCAGCACGGCACACATGACTGGAAACTAGCCAACAAATGCTTGGATAAATTATTGACTGGAGCGGCCATTTTGCCAGATTTCCGTCGTCTGAAAATGACATTGCAGTTCCTCAGGACTCAGGTAACAACCAGTCACGGCTCACCTGTTTTCTGAAGCTGAGCCATGATTGGTTGTTACCTGAGCCCTGAGCAACCGCGATGTCATTTTCAGTCGACGACAATGGGCAAAATGGCCGCCCGCTGAGACCATAGAACTAATTATTGGAAATAAAATTTCGGGGTTGACTTTCCCGTTAACAAACAATGCCAAAATGACAAGTCTTGCATTTGATTGGAAGTGGCCATTTTCAGATCATTTCATCCATTTCTAGGTGTCTTTCAAAAAAAAAAAAAAACTCAACCAAACAAACAAAAAAAAAACCCCACTCTTTTCCGAAAGATTTTTTCAGATTGCAACAAAATTTGAGCCATGTATACCTAACAGATTGAGAAAACTACAGTTCATTTTCTTTTTCATCATTGATGTTGTTGCCATCAAACACAAAAATATGTTACCTGGCCTGGATTAAGCCGGCCACAGACCAAAGAGATGATAAGGTGCCCGGCTACTGCCGTAACCGTTGTACTCCCAGGCCCTCGTCTGGCGCAACGCTCTCAATTTGCATGTATAATTCAACGAAGGGGACAAAGGTTGGAAGTGAATGTGTTTGCTGACGGCCTTGGTGGTTTTGTTGCAGGAGGATGACCCACACCACAACAGAGGGAGTCGAAAGAAGGGTAAAAAGTCTGGCTTTGGTTGTGGCTTTGACCGCCGTTCGACTCCAAAGATGAGCAAACTGAAGGTGAGTAATCTCCAGTCAATTTCTCTGGATTCCTATAGAAAGCTCCAGTTGTTCCTAAACAGCTATCGCCCATGTGGTGCTGCTTCCGCAGGAAGCTTATAGCCCAGAGTCAGGGATGATAGTGAAAACAGCCAAAGATGGCGGCGCAGAAGGTCTTGTCTATGGTGGAGGAGGCAAAGAGGGCATCTTCATCAAAGAAGTCGTACCAGAGTCACCTGCCTCCAAAGGTCTACAGCTGAAAGAAGGTATTGCTTCCTGTTTGACAAATGAAATCACGACACTCTTTTCCCAACACGATAGCAACTACAGGTCTAAACCTAGGAGTGTATTTGCTCGGTTATCATCGTACCAGTATTCTTCTAACAAGTTGTAATCCTTCTTTTAATGCAGGCGATCAGCTTCTGAGCGCCACAGTGTATTTTGACAATGTGTCATATCAGGACGCCATTCAGATTCTGGAGCATGCTCAGGCTTACAAAGTGAAGCTCTGCCTAAAACGCAAACCCGACATCACTGAGACGGAACCCCTCGCTGAGTCTGACATCATCCCTGTAACTCTTTTAAGTCACATCTTCCGAATTTTTATGCTGTCGTCTCTTTCTGAGGCAAAACTAACAATCCCGTTCCCCACTAGGAGGATGAAACCTTCACTCCAGAGATGCGAGAACATGGGAAATCCAAGAGACGAGGTGATGCACGCATTTCTTGGCCCAAGTTTCCCTCCCTAGGGAGAGGAAAGAAGTCCCGTTTTGCAAGGTCTCATAGTTCCTCAGAGGCTGATGAGCAGAGGAAGTTGGAGCTGAGTCCTACCACGAGCGACACAGAGTCACCAATAAAGACGCAAGATGCCCTTAAAGGCAAGAAACGGCATAAGATGAAGCTTCCATCTCTGACAAAGAGAGGCCGCATTAGCTCATCTGAAGATCAGGACACCGATGCGCCGACGACATGCGCACAAGAAGCTGCAGAACTGATCTCAACCGAAGGCCTTCAAAGCCCCATGGAAAGACGGCCTGGAGTGCACAGGATAGAGCAGATGGCTCTGGTAGAAGGTTCTGACGCAACAGTGACAAAACCTCTTGCCATTCAACACAAGGTGGAGCTCATTGCTATAGACAGTGCTTTGAAAACCACCGATCTCACGGTGGCTCTGGCGGGTCAAGATAGCCCCACCGGACCACTGTCGCCCGATGGTAAGAAACAGAAGAAAGAAAGGTCGGAATTGAAAATGAAAATGACAGGGAAGGACAAATCAAACAAGAAAGAGGCAAATGCAAAATCACCCAAAAGGCTAAAAACCCTGGGTGCGAGTTTAGAAACAGCTGTCAAGGGGGATCAGCCCGAGCGTACGTCTCAAACTGAACAAACATCCCCACTCAAAGGCAAAGGCAAAACTAAAATAAGAACCCTACTCCCCAAGCGAGAAGACATTGAAATCCCTGGTATGGAGGATACGGGGAGAAGGACAAAAGTCAAAGGACCCCACGATGAACTACCAGAAACAGTGCAACTCTCAATTGATGTGGACAGCGTGAAAGAGGCCGTTTCGAAATTGCCTGGATATAAATTACCGAAGGTGGATATGTGTGGAGTACTTATTCCTGAAGAAATCACAGTGATCGATGCCAATGCTCAAAGAATATCAGTAAAAACGCCCACAAAAGTCGCTGATGGCAGAATGAAACAGGAGGCACCCATCAGTAAGGCAGAGGACACTTCCACTCCAGAATTATCCAAGACTTCGTTCAAGCTCCCAAAGATCAAACCGAGTGACTCGACTTCAGAAGAAGTTTTAACTGTCACCCAGTTGGACCAAACAACTACAGAGACAACACAAGTGTGTGAACCTGCACTCAACTCAAAAGAATCTGACAAGATATCAAAGACGACCAAGATAGTTTTGCCAAGCATCGGGTTTTCAAAGGCAGACTTTAGAATGCCCGACGTTGGAATGTATTTCGCAAAGCCAAATATTTCTGGGACAAAGGATGACACGGGGAAAGGAGAAAGAACTATATTCCTACAAGAACAATTAGGTGAAGGCGGCATCACGTCCGATGCCAAAATGTACGAAGCTGAAAGATCTGCCGTGATAAGTACTGGTGAACTTGAATACATTGATTCGGAGGAATCCCCCGTCGAGAGGGAATTCGATTTCACGATACCGGAAATCACTGGATCACAAGTAAATGTAAACTTTTTCAAAAATGAGTTGGATGTGAAAAAACCAGAGCCTGAATCTGAGGCACAACTCAAAGAAGCCTCGGATGTGGATTTAGGTCCTGGAAAAGCACAGGCCTCATCGCATAACGATAAAACGCCAGAGGCCAAGGTTGATATTCCCAGAAAGGACCTTGCAGTGAACATTTCGGCACCTAGCGTGGACATTGAAGGATCTGTAATGGACATGAAGACTACAGATGCTGAGCAGGGTGGAAAAGGAGGCAAGTTTAAAATGCCACATCTCAGTTTCTCCATGCCAAAGGTAAAAGGACGCAAAACAGACTCAGGCTGGTCAAAAAAAGGCTCGGGGGTGACAACGCCAGAGGCTAAAGTTGCCGTCCAAATGCCTGACACTCCCAAAATTTACACAAATGAGGCGAAAGCTGAAGTCAAACTTCCAAAAACATTGGAGTCACCAGAATTAAAAGTTGAAGCCAAAATTCCAGAACTTACCACAGATATTAATGTAAAAGTGAAAGGTCCCAAGAGTGAAGCTCAAGCAAGCAGTCTGGAGGAATCTCCCTCTCAATTCAAATTCCCAACATTAAAATTACCGAAATTCGGGGTGGCTTTACCACAGGTTGATTTGGAAATGGACAAAGATGTCAAGGTGGATCAAGTAAACGTCAAGTCACCAGAATTAAAAGTTGAAGCCAAAATTCCAGAACTTGCCACAGCTATTGATGTCAAAGTTAAAGGTCCCAAAAGTGAAGCTCAAGCAAGCAGTCTGGAGGAATCTCCCTCTCAATTCAAATTCCCAACATTAAAATTACCGAAATTCGGGGTGGCTTTACCACAGGTTGATTTGGAAATGGACAAAGATGTCAAGGTGG